TAAATGTCTTTTCCCGTGAGGGTATTATACTAGGGAAGGGGAGTGAGGGCAGGAAAGAAAATAAAATAGAAAAATAAGTCAGGCCCTCCCTGGTGGCGTAGCGGGTTAAAGCACAGCACTAAGAAGCTAAAGCCACTTCCCCGTGAGTTCCATTCCTGCCTGCCCCGAAGCTGACCCACATGGCATGGCAGACCTCTCCTGACCTATCCGCTGCTCCCCTCAGCAGTGTACTTCATCAATTGGCCTGTTCTGCTCCCCTCTCTGTCTCTGGTGAAGCCTCTCACCGCCCCTGCATCACTGGCCTGTACCCCAGTTCTGTATGCATAAATAAATAAATCTTTAAAAAAGAAAAAGAAGTCAATTATGTAGCACATGAACAACAAATGAACAAATGGAAAAGAAGCAAAACAGGGGAAGGGAGAGTGGAATCTTGGGGGTGGACAGTGTAGGTTTCAGAAAGTGACATCAGAATGGTGACTTAAAGCAGGAGTAGGTAGGCTCTGCAAGCAGAGACCTGGAGTCAGATTCTTCCAGGTAGAGGGCAGCTACAGAGCAAAGACCTAGGGTGGGAGTTGCCTCAGGTATTCCAGAACTGACAAGCTCAGGTGGCTACAGTTGAGTGCAAGAGGTTGGAAGATGGAAGTGAATAAATAAAGAGGTGACTGTGAGGGCCAAAAGGGTGTGGTAGAAACTTTTCATGTAAAATGGGAGTTTTGCAGAGTTCTGAGCAGAGGAAAAGAATCTGACTTGGACTTGGAAAGGGTGACCCTAGTGCAGTGCTATGAATCACCTGAAGGTGGCTTGGGTAGAAACAGGGAGACTAGGTATCTCCTGCACAAATGAAGAATGAGATGAAATTTCCTCTTTGTTTTAGCAGTAGAAGGTATGACAAGTGCTTGGAGGCTTGGTATATTTTGAAGGAAAAAAGCATTGTGATATTCTCAATGGAATATTACTCAGCAATCAAAAAGATAAACCCATGCCTTTTACAGCAACATGGATAGACTGGAAGGGATCATGCTTAGTGAAATAAGCCAGAAAGAAAAGAAAAAATACCAGATGGTTTCACTCATAGCAGGAGCATAAAGGACCAGGGGAGAAAATAATAA